GGGCCCGAGCAGGGGCTGGCGACGCAGCGCTCCTTCCCCGGACTACGGCCGCGTTGGCCTTATCACCACCCCCAGTTCGCAGGTATTCTTCACCAGCACCTGCTGTACGCCAGGCGCTGCGCGCAGCGGTTCTCCTGTCTACATCAAATTTTACTCCTCACACAACCCCGAGGAAGAGTTCTGCTGCCATCCCATTTTACAGATGGAAAACTTAGTGTCAGAGAAGTTCTCACTTGCTTTAGTCACCGGAGCTCAAACCCAGTCCATCTGACACCAGAGCCTGGGAGCTCTCCCACCCTCATCGCCCCAGGGTTCCTACAGCAGAGGCAGGGATGAGGCCTTGGCTCATCGAGGCTGGGGTGGGTGAGGGCCTATAGTGTTTCCGAGGGCAGGAAAGGACCCTTCAGAAAACCAGGGGTTTTCCTTCCTCATCAGGCCTGAATCTACAGACACATTGGGCTCAGCCCACTTTTCAGGGCCCCACAGGACTGCCTTCCCTCATCTCCCCCATCCCATCCCCACAGATCTGGGCCTGGGGAGGAGGAATTTGTACCTTTAACCCTCCTCTTCCCCTTCGCGGTGTCGCATTTCCTGCACCCTACCAGGGGTCGCAGAAGAACACTGGGGTTTAGCCACCCAGATTGAGTTTAGCAAAGGCTGCATTTCCTTGCCAGGTGAGAGCAGCCACCTGGCCCTGCAATGACACAGGGCACACATGTGACCACAAATGGAATCGTAACTTTAGGCCAGCTCCACTTCGTGGTGTGGGGGACACCAGAGGGGATGCTGCCCATTGGGATTTGTTTCAGGGGGTTCCTGAAATGGCCCTTTGACTAGTGACCCTGGCTCATTCTTGGTTCTAAGACTTTCCTGCCATGATTGCATCTGGAGATGACCAGATCCTCAGCTCACCACATTCCCTAAGGCTGCTCAGGGAGTCACAATGCCCATGACAGTGCTAATGGGGGGGACCAGACATTCATGTCTTATCCACCCACAGCATGGGGTCAGAATGTTCACTCCATAATTTCTTGGTCAGAACAAAGAAAGTAAATTACTTGAAGCCAGAACTCACCACTGGTACCACCATTGGGTCCCCATGTGCCCTGTCACACATGGCAAATTGAGCCCATCAGCCTTTCAGAGCCAGGCAGCCACCACCACCAATTGACTGGAGTTGGCACTTGAGGTGACAACCATTTGGCACCCTGGCACAGGGATACTGCTCAAAGCTCTAGGTGGGCAGAATGAAGTGCCCCTCTCTGGAACACAAAGGCCTCCTTGTGCAAGATAACTCTTGTCCCATGGAGCCACTCCATCAATGACTGGGCTGTGGGTTCTCTTTCCTACATTTAGGAGTAGATTTAATTAGCCCAACATTCAGTGGATCTCTCCAAGGGCATTGATTGTGCCCTGGTACTCCTGGAGCCCCTCCTCTTACAGTGACCTTGTGGTCCAGCACCACCCCTCCTCCACAGACTTGCTGATGGTAGCAAGAGGGGCTGGACAGACCTCTGCTGAGATTTTGCACCTACATCAGCCCAAATGAGGACTGCCTTCCTTCCCCCTCATTCCTGGCAGGGTTCCAGAGACCCATCTTCCCCTGAACTGGATCACCAGCCGCATACAGAGGATCAGCACGGGCACCCACAGTTTGAAGAGGACTCAGGGCAACTGTCTGGCAGTGGGCACACTATGACCCAGGTTGCAGGTGGGGGTCAGAAAGTCAGAGGGCAGGAGAGGTGGCCACTACCACTTGCCCACTGCCACAGGGACCAGTAGCCCAGTTTCCTCCCTCTCTCACACTCTCTCTACACAGCCATTGGCCAGCTCTGTAGGAACATCCCGGGGCATGTGAGGAAAGCTGCAGGGAGAAAAAGGTTTCAGCTGGATGTCAGGAAGAACTTTCCAACAGTTGTAGATGTTCAGACACCAAAAGGGTGGCCACATAATAAGGCTGTCTAGGGATGTGTGTAATTAGAGGTGGGATGGCAGTGAGCCCCTTGCAGCTCTGAGGCCCCAGGGCTCAGGTGCCCACCTCAACCATCTCAGTGATCTTGCCTGCTCGCTAGCACCAAATGTCATCCAGACTGGAGTTAGTGGTGACAATGAACACCAGAGTGTCTGCTCTGGCTCCATCTAGATGGAGGAAGAGTGTGGCTGGGGGTGGGACTGGCCTAGGACTACATGCTGCTCTTTGTGGCAGAGTGGGATTTGAACTTCTGTCTAACCCACGCATGAGTGTATCCTACTTTGTAGGCAATGGGAAAGCACTGCTAATAGGGGCAAATCTGTGTCCTACTCCTCCGAGGCATGTGGCCCAGCGGTCTGGAGCAGACCACCCTGCCGCTTCTGCTCCATACTCCAGGGCATTATCACTCACCTCCAAACCCCAGTTTCTGCTTATCCAACACCACCACCTCTTGGCTGGATTGAATGGTCCAGCTGACCAGAGGAAAATCACTGGCACCAGCCCAGCACAACACTGCTGCCAGATGGTTGGAGGGAAGACTGTGTCTTGCTGGGTCTGCAGCCTGCTGGCCATGAGTCCTCAAATATCTGGAGTCCTCAGTTTCCATGCCTACAAGGGGCTTCTGTTGGGTTCCAGGAGGAAAACAGATGAGATGGTGAAAGAGTGGGGGTGCAATGCAGGTTTTGGTTTGACTCTTGCGTTTGCTGATTACCAGCCAGGCCCTTCCCCTCTCTGAGCTCCAGTTTTCCACAGGGCATCAGTGCTCTGAGTCAGGATCAGGGTGCCTAGGTCTTCAATGCAGGACTGTGGAGCTAATCCAGCCACTGCCATTTGCCACCTTTTTTTTTTTTTAAGATTTTATTGGGGAGTTGGGTGCAGGGAACAGCGTTGAGGAATCGGGGAAGGGGAACAGACAAGTTGCTGTCCTTTTGTTCTTCAGTCTAGTTGTGGAG